ACTTCGGTTTCTTATATGGAAAGTTTCGGCACCGCTCTTCCCAACTCGTCGGTGGTTATTTTTCTTTCGAGGGCGATCGTGGATAATTAAAATGCGGGTATATCCTCTACAAATTTTTTATAAAGCAATGTTTTATGAATAACTTAATAGTAGCTGTAGTAATAAATCATTTTTTTAGCTATGGATTTCAAAATTCCCGAGTTGAGTCAGTAGTTCTTGGCTTAGCCACCTTAAACCACACCGTTTGCAATTTTCAGGTCTTTTATTTATTTATTTAATTAATTATTATTTGATATGAACAAGATAATTGCAAAATAGTGGTGAAAGAACGAGAAACTACTAATAAATTGCATATTGCAGTCAATATCGTGATTAACAATTTTGTATAAGAACATTACAGAGTACATAAATATTCTACTAACAAAGCTATCCATCTGAAATCTGTCCAAGAAGAAAATCTGCAAGCTTTGACCTGGAAAAGGTAACTGGATACTTGATATAATCTGGAATGTTCAATATCACAATCTGTAGCAAAACCGAACAGAATTAGTGATACGAAAAAGAGACGGTTTTAGATTTAGAATCATTTAATAGTTTATTGTCACACCATACGTTAAGTAAGTCCAAACTGTGCCGAAGCTTTTTAGAGATAGAGTTGACACAAGCGTAGACATTAAAATTATTAAATAAAAAATTTAGATAAATTTGGAACATATAAGATGAATTTTTCGAGACAAAACATCTGAGTCTGATTCGGGTTGAGGCAGCACAGTATTGTGGGTCATGAAGGCTTGCAAAAAATGTAATAATATTTCCAGAGCCGTATTTAAAATAATAAACATGATGGTCCTGCAAATACAAAAAGTTACATATAAAAATTGATTATGCGAAAGTATTCTTCTTTTTTCAATGTCACATCAAACAAGGCTGAAATAACACAAAAACCGATTTAAATAATTTCGTTGTTGTTATATTGTGTTTTATATTGTGGGATATAATTTACGTGATTTTTATAAAATTTCAACCCTTCAAAATCACACTTATTGATAAAAATATAAAATTAATAATTTATTTGACCTTAAAATATTCTTATGGCGCATATATTATAGATAGAAATCTTTTCAATAGTTTATGGTATTATAAATAATTTATTACGATATTTCAGCTCCTAAAAACCTACCCCTAATAACAAAATATAAAGAAAACATAGTTTTTAACAGTTTGAAATGATTTGATAGTACAAACTGGATAAATTAAATTCTTTTACCTGTTTATAATACAATTTATAATTTATCGCATTGTTTTAAACCCTTAAAAACCACCCCCAATGACAAAATATAAAAAAATGGCTTTTAAATTATTTTAAATGAATTAGAAGTGTATTATCTTCCTATAGTGTTTATTAGATCACAGGGTTTCTTAAAAATCACCTTCATTGTACAAATAAAAACAATTGTATACATTTAAAGTTGATAAGCCGAATTATTAAAAGATTATAGGGGAAAAGTGAAGGTATTCTATGTATATAGATATAGAATGCTCCAAAGTTGTGAATAACCAAAATATTGATATGCTCGGAAAATTGAAGCGGTAAGGTACCGTTGGTTTCTTAACGATAACTTCCTTAATTTTAAAGCTATTACGACGATCCAAAAACGACTTTACAGAAAATTTCGACAGCTAAAAGTACTGTAAAACTGAATATTTTTTAAAGCGTAATTTTTGAGGTTAAAGTTTTTGAAAAATATTACGTTTGCCCTCAACTGCAAACTTCTAGCAGCGACATCTCTATTAATTTTCATCCTACACAAATAAAAAAAACCTAAATATTCTGTGAAAAAAAATCTTAACTTTTGTACTCTTGAATATTTTTCGTATCTGTTTTTTTTTTGGAATTACAATTTTTTTTCAAAAATATGCATTCTAAACTGCTTAAACTTGTAATAGTATATTGTTAGCACATAAAAATGTAAATTGTAGGAGAATTACCTTTAATTTTAAATCTCGTGAAAAATTCATCAGTTTTATACTGATATTTTTCCGAAAAAGCGAATTAACAGTTTTATTTTGATCATAACTCTAATTTTTATGCTAATGACTTAAAGTCAAGTTCATTTTAAAGTTCTGTGCATTTTTCTTGAAAAATAAATTTTTCTAGTTATTTTACGTTAAATGCTTCCAATTTAATTTCTGGCGGACATGAAATTATCTTCAACCAGCCGTATCCCAGCACCTATTGCACCTCCATAAATAAAACCTTTTTCTTTTTCTATAAGCTTCATTTTGTTCGTGATGTTTTTTTTTCATAGAATGTCTATTTTCCGAGTTATTCGAGAAAAACTACTGGAAAACGTATTTATTTTAATAAAATATGTACATTTTCAATCACCAATACCTAACAAAATTGATTGCTTTGGTTATTTTCAATATTTTATTTCTTGGTTCTCTGGACTAAATATAAGTGAGCCAAAATTTTGAAAATTAATCGACTTTTGGTCATTGCCCAATTACGCTTCAGCTCATCTAGCCCTGTTTCTCACTTAGTACCTTATTCCTGCTGACATGTATCTACCTACCTATTTAAATCTCTACTAAATATCAACTTTCAGTCCAAATTTATTTTTATAGCACTACATTCCGCTTGACATTTTCGTCCCTTCAAACAGAAACCTAGTCCATTAAACCGCCTAAACGTGGAATATGTACGACGGCAAGAACCACGCGTCGGTCGTTAGACCCCCCTAACTACGAAGGAGCAGATTTTATATCGACAAAATCGACCATAATTGAGGGTAGAGGAGGCACCGCCAATAAAATTTTATTAGAAATTAAACCGAGAGCCCCATCCTTTCCCCGAAAGGTTTATCCGTGGTGACGTAGCTAAATGGAGGTTCGTACGTAATGCAAACAAATAAAATATGTTTTATTGCAGGAGATTTGTGAACGTGGAACAAACAACCAGGCAATCTTTATGGCTTTCAAGGTTGGCGAAATCGGGTGTAGTAGTGCCTCTCTCACGTATAGAGTTGATAGCGGAGTACATAGTTAATGTTAATATACGCAGTTGTTTGCATGTATATACTTAAAACATTACACAGAGATAAAGTCAGTTTATGGTTTACATGACATAAAACAATAAGATATTCTTTTAACGTATCTAAAGATTACAATGTTTGCTCTTATTAACAAATCATTTTTCTTGGGGGTCCATTTATGATGAATTACAAAAAATTATCGGAACATTCCCCAAAAATTGGGTCCTAAAAAATTTGCAAAAGACAAACGATTTACAAAGTTGACGTTTTTGTGTCTATTTGTTATTTTCGCGTACGGTGTTTTATTTTTTAGGCACCTTTAACGTAAGTGTTCAACGCGGTTTGGTAAAAAATAAAAAAATATATTCAAAGTTAACGTCAAGCTGATAAATACAGCAATCCCAAGGAGGATAATTAATGTTTGGTGCGGTATATTGAGAAATAAAATCATTGGCAAACTATTTTATGAAGGTGTTTAAAAATCAAATAGAAAACAAATTGGATGACCTGCCGCTGATCGACTATACCAATTTAATTCGGCACCAAAACGGAGCGCCTACGTATAAAACCAGAGCAGTACGAAATTATTTAAATAATATGTTTGATTTGTGGATTGGTAATGGAGGAAGTAATCAATGGCCTTCAAATAGCCCAGACCCTACACCTTTGGACAGTTTTCCGTGGGGTTACTTAAAAAACGAGGTTTATAAGGAAACTAGTGTAAACTTAGATGAACTAAGACATAAAGTTGATCAATGTATATAAAATTTGTACTTTCATACTAAATGCAGTTCTGAATTATACGAAGTGCATCAATAATAATGGCGGTCACATTGAGCATCTGTGACCGTTTGTGTTTTAGTTGGTTTCTATTAATTATAGGTATTAAAATTCTGTTAAGACTTGTTAAAGTTAAGAATGATTTTTATTGTTACCATAAAATAAAGGGATAACTTCAAATTTTTCGTTCTCACTAAACATTATTTCTTTGTTAAAATAGTTTGTTATATGAAATAAATTAACGAGGATAAATAAATTTCTGCCAGTCATTTGTTTGTTCCGCTTACCTCGTCCATAGCCACTGCGATCCGTCAGACATAAATTTCCCTCCTGTTTTTTCAAAAATAATTTTAAACAGAAATATGTCGAAAAGTCCTGAATCAAACAATAACATAATATATTTTTGCAAAAAGAGAAAAATTTAACGAAGCTAAGTATGCACTAATATATAGGGTGTTCCATTTAAAAAAAATATATTTTTCTTTAATTTTGAATCCCATTATTCAATTGTTTTGTTTGTTTTGTATTATAAAAATTCACAAAGAAAGCGAAAATTTTTGTATTAAAAACTTTTCTATCGCTTTTTTTACCTTCCTATCAAAGAAAAAATAGTAAAGCCAGTTGTGGAAAGATATACAATATGTCGATTTGGTACATGATTTGCGTTTATTGTTATCTTTAGTTGGTAAAAATATGAATTCATTGGAAGCCAATTCGGACCGGACTAGGGGTGGGGGCGTCCTTAAAATGATAACGATTTTTTTGTCAGTATGCCAATTATTAGTAGTTTTACCAGTATTACAGGAAATTTAATTTTAAATATTTTTTACACTTTTTCGAAAAAATAACGATTTCTGAGAAAATCGGCATTTTGTGAAAAAACGTCATTACTAATAATTGAATTGGACAAAAAGTAAAGTATGCAGTTTTACGACTGATAGGCTATGACTATATTACCGCGTACTACATTGTTTTGGAAAATTAGTTCATAAATACAAAAAACTGAATAGCAAATACATACTTCTTCATATTCCTTGAACGCTTTGTATATGTTTTCAAGTGTTTCCAAACAGTTATTTCCAATTTCCTTAGCTAATCCCTTAAATTATATTTACCTCCCATGGAGCATATCTTATCTCTAACACCGTGTAAACAAACAAATTACGCTTTTCGCGAACCTAAAACTATTTAGTTGATAGAAACAAGTGAACCATGATCCAACTAACTTCTTTGGTGTTGATGCTATTAATAGCGTTTTCAAAAGTAGATTCAAGTGAGTATGCAATACTGACAAGAATAATCCAATCCAATGATGAATTATATTTTAACACGTTAAGAAAGTTTGAATAGTACCTAGGTTAATTTTTAAGTGATCTTACGCACTTTGGGGTTCAGTTCAGATCAGTTAAATTGAAGCCTGTTGCCATCTTCAACCTCAAAATCTTCCAGATCTTTTTGTCACAACATTTGTTGTATAACTTGTACCTTTGACACATGAAACTGTCAATTGTGCGTGGAATTAACATTATTTTATTGTTCATAGTAATTTAGTGACTTATTTTTTACATACTTTCCAATTACCGAAACATCCAATTCAGAGTTAATTGTTCTGCCTAATGGGATGGCTTGATTGTTTGAAGGGTGATTTACGGGTGATTAGAGGCAATAATTGAAAAGCCTCACACATTCGATTAGGTAAAGTGGTCGACTAATGGTGGTCAATTCATTTCCTTGTGTAATGTGGGTCAGAAATGGTATTACAGTGGCGTCATGTGACTAATAAAATACGCATTACTATCGTGAGGGATATCTATGCAATCGAAAATAGCTGCATCAGTATATGTATTGTTATTACATGAATGCATTTTTCAACAAAATCCAAAAGAAGTTACCAAAGAATTTGGAATAACCCTGATTTTAATTAGATTTATATTCTTAAACCATTGTGTTTCATTAGATACTGTTTTGTTACTTTTGATACCAATATAGACTCATTTATAGACTGATTAAATTATTTTTCCTTTGACAAATTGAACTACGCTATATTGTACCAAGCACTTCTTCCAAATAAAATCGAATTTTTTTCAGACTCAGCATTGATCTGCTATGAGTGTTCTCAACCTAAAGGGTTAGGGCTAGCTTGTGAGACGAACGTAGAATCTGTAACACAAACAACGTGTGCAACAGACCTTAGTTGCGTCAAATACGTTTGGACAAGTAAGTACCACCATTGTCTTTCAATAACATAAAATTTATTATGAAGTTATTCTTTTTTGTCATGCTTTTAAATTTGTTTTTCTAGAAACTAGCAAGCGGTGTTCTATTTAATACTTTCTAGATCAAAGTGTGCTGTACGACGCGCGAAAAAAGCCCTAAAGTAACACCGGCTATTGAAGTTTTCCGATGGATTGGAAAAACAGTAGCTTTTGTTTGGTGTCAAAACATTTTTCTGTTAATCTAATTTGTTGGGTGCATGCCTCGCAAAACACAATTAATCGAAACAGGCTTTGACAGCGCATTTAGTTGACACATCGGCCTGGCTTCTAATTAAAATCTAAAGTTTTATTGGGTGTGTTAATTTTATATCGCACCTTTCATCAAAGTTAGTTTTGAGTAGCAGGTCTCAGTTAATAACAATTTAGCTCACTTCTAAAGCAGTCAAAGTTTACGTAGATAGTTATAACTAGCTTCAATTGTTTCTAGAAAATAATTATTAATTCATATAAAGTAAGTCAAGCAAATTAAAGCATGTACCTAGTCACCGTTGACTCATTTAACAAGAGTTGTATGTTGAGGTTAAAACTAATACGCACTTTCCTTTCAACTGATCTTCAGTGATATGGAACAGACGGATCATTTCATTATTAAGTTCAAAATCAAGTTTAAAGAAACATTTTCTACTGCCTTCGTCGCTTATTCAATTAATAATTAACAAAAGGAAAGACGCTTTTTGATATATAAAACATTCATAAATGTTTACAAGCTATGAGCCCATCGAGCGTAGGTAACCAACAATGCAAGGTTGGTTAGATCAAATGAAAATCCCTAAACCTCAGTGGCGTGGTTGAAGGGGTTACGTGTAATTCAATAAAATTTTTTTTAAAATTGACACATGAATTATAGATTAAACTTAATGCATATAATTTAGTATTACATACTTCCGAAACATACTTTTGTTTTTGAGTTGAATTACTTTTAACTTTATTAAAAGGAGAAAACTATCAAACTTTACTTGTTAATGAACAAATTACAACTGACATAATTAAAGTGTAGTTCCCTAGATCTGAGCGAGGTCCAGAATATTTTCAAAATTGAAAAAATGTTTAAAAAATTTAAAAAGTACCTATTTTATATAGGAACCTATGCATTTTGGAAAAATATTGAAGAGGAAAAAAGTTTGAGAATTGAATACTGCACAATATACTGCAAATTAAAAATGTTTAAATTTATTACCGATGTTGCAAAATAGCAATAATTGATGAAAAAAGGCAAAATAATCAAGTTTTTTGAATAATTTTTTTTAAATATTTTAATTGCTCCGACGGCATTCTTAAAAAAAATTTAGAGTATAATAGAACAACACACCAAATTTCATTAAAATCGGTTCGATAGTTTCCGCAAAATAATTTTTGTTTAGAAATAAATTTTTTGTTAGGTTAAAATTAAGAAAAAATAGTACTTTAAAATTATAATTTTTGAAAAAAACTAAACTGCAAATTGATAAATGTAATCTAATTGTTTAAAAATAAAAAAAAGAGTGTTAACTTTAAAAATTTACTGTGGCCGTCCTAATCAACCGATTTAAATTTTTCAGAAACCGTTTGAAAGGTTGAGCAATCTTTTCTATGTGGAAAAATTTTCAAGAGTCTAGATACTTTATTTGAGGCTGTGCAACATTTTGAAAATTCGAAAATTTTGTTTCAAAATTAAAAAAAGAAATTATTTTGCGAAAACTATCGAATCGATTTTAATGAAATTTGGTGTGTTGTTTTATTATACTCTAAAGTTTTTTTATCAAAATTAGAATGCCCTCGGAACAATTAAAATATTAAAAAAAAATTATCCAAAAAACTTGATTATTTCGCCTTTTTTTCATCAATTATTGCTATTTTGCGACATCGGTAATAAATTTAAACATTTTGAACTTACTGTATATTGTGCAAAATTCAATTCTAAATCTTTTTTTCCTCTTCAATATTCTTCCAAAATTGATAGGTTTCAAGGTATAAGTAAAAACTCAGATAAAATAGGTACTTTTCAAACTTTTTAAACATTTTTGCAATTTTGAAAATGTTCCTGGCCTCGCCTAGATCTAGGGATCTATACTTTTATTATGTGAGTTGTACTGAAGGTAATCCAGAAAAATTTTGCTTGCCCCCTCTCACATCCACCTCAAAACAGATCCCCCTGGTCTAGTAACAATACTCTACATCCTAACGTTACTATCACTGAGAATAGAAATACTTTAATGTTGTACCCATTTACTGAATATTGTCGTTACTGACAAATAAATTAGAAAATAAGACTTCTTCAGATGCAGATGAAATTCATACATTTATTCTAAAAAAGATATTAAATTTCATTATTTTGCCTCTTATCCACTTTGTAAATATTTCACTGTCTAATGGAAAAAGTTTTTAAAAATAGACAAGGTTATTCCAGTTTTTTAAGAAATCTGATCCTTCACTCATGGAAAATTACAGACCGATAACAACAACGTTCTGCTTCTTTAAAGTATTTGAGTATTGCTTTATGAAAAAACTTATGGACTTTGCATTCAAATTCAGTTATTGAGTCTATTATATTTCTTCTAGGTTGCGTTATGGGATATGTTTTTGGGGAATATCTACTGGTGCTCCTGATGTATTTGTTGTTCAGCATATCTTGAGGATCTTTGCAGGTGTTAACATGAGTTGTTCTTGCAGGGGCCTGTTTAAGAGTTTTAAAATTCTGATACACATTTTTATATTAGAGATGTGTGTATATATTTTCCAAAATAAGGGCAAATTTTTATTAAATCATGAAGTACATGAATATAATACGAGACACTGTTCAGAAAACGCCACTGAAAAATGCACAAATGTCAATTTAACGTCTTGACCTTATTGTTTCAGTAATTTTTAATTTTACCAGAATTTAATTGCCAACGCGAAAATGACTGTTTCAAACAAAATTATTGGTACAATATAAATTACAATCAGAACATCCCATCTCCTGCGATATCTTCTACTAGGCTTCGAATTATATAAAGTATCATTTGCTCGCTATTGGATCTCGCAGCAACAGCTGCGGGCATCAAATTTTCAATAAATATAAATGCATCTCGGATATCTTATTCATAAGCAGAGCGTCGATACTGTGACAGAGCGGATTCTATTTCCAGAATGGTGAATTTCAGTGCATCGCGATACCATACCAAATAATCCGTAATGGAAGTGGTTATTTGGAAACGCATTTGCATCACTGTTACTCCGATTTACCCCTCCGTATATGTGAATAAAAATTACACAATTTTCAAAGCCCCGAAACAATTTCTATCTCCGATACTTTTGTATTACTGGAATATATTTTTTCGCTGTACGTTGTTCACTAAATTAGCTTCATAAAAGGGAAGTTTATCATACGAAGCAATGAAAAACTTTTGCTTTTGTCGGTTTGGTCAGGTAGACTTATTATTTTAGCGTTTTTTCTCTCGCTACACTGGCTTTGAACTGAATGGCGCTAACCAGAGGCGTATAATGTTAGTTTTTATTAAAGAAAGCTGCAATCTACAGTAAATTATATTAACAGAGCGTGGAAAGGCATAAAAAAGGTTTTTCTGTTAAAAAATGTTAACATTTTCGAAAAATATCGCATATACTCAAATATTCAGTGACGCAGAAATTTATTTACAAAAAAATATTTTATGAAACAATATTTATTTTCAAAAATATATTTAAATAGTGGCGTTAAGGCTTTCATATAAACAGTTGATATTAATTTTATTTACTTGTTGTTCTCAGGTTAGTCGTTATGGTAGCGGACCTGTTATAGCGTTGATGTCGCTGCGCGCGCATCTAGTTCTGCATAGTACAGTGGTGGGGTGGAGGGCGTGGTCATCTCCGGTATCGTCAGTGCCGTTACGTATGATTTCAGGCTTTGCTGTTGGTTATCACGCATTTTCTGTAGATAACCAGGCTCTACCATCCAAAAAGCTTTCTCAAGATTCATACTATTGGGATAATAATTAGAGAAAGATCAACGGTACAACGATAGCTTGTTAGTAACAAAAAAAGTCTGTATATTTTTTTCTATAATAGTTTTTGTTTTGATTTTCAGATGCGGGATCTTCGGTCATTCACAGACATTGTACATCTCTTACATGCGTGCAACTGGGACAAAATTCAACTCAGTTCAACACTTTAGAATCCTGCGAGACATGCTACACCGATCTCTGTAACAAGGCCTCTCCTACTAAAATGTCTTTAATGTTAATACCATTAATGTATACATTATTTAGGTTTTTGTAGGGATAACTATTATAACCATTTAGTACCGACAATGATTTTTGTACAATAAAAATTATGTTTTTAGTAGTGCTGCTAATTTCGATATTTTTATACTATCTTTTATATTATAGCAAAATTAATCCCATAATAATCCAAAATCTAAAAGGAATAAACTACTCGTCAAGGTAAATACTATCCTTAAGGCATGGAAATAATAAATGTTTTGTATTGTGAGAATATTAAGTTATGAATTGACAATATGTTTCGAATAAATAGTGGATATCGATAACGAAGCAGTGTTGTTTAATCGATGGTAAAAGCTTCATAAATGCAAGATTCGAAATATTTGGAATTATTCGATTTTCGTGACTGAACAGATGCATAGGTACTGAATTTTCGAAACTGGGAGAATTGCACTAACCAAATGTGCACAGGACTTAGATAATACAATGCGAAACATCGCCTTACTGTTAAAAATGTTGTCACCGCCGTTCTTGATGGTGAAAATTCGAAATATTCGGAATTTTTGTGGCTGAAAACATGCATAGGTATTGAATTTTGGAAACCGGGAGAGTTGCAATAACCAAATTGGCACTGGATAGTAGCTAATACAATGCGAAACATCGCTTCGCTGTTAAAAATGTCACCGCCGTTCTTGGTGGTGAGTTGTACTAACCAAATTGGCACTGGATAATACCTAATACAATGCGAAACATCGCTTTACTGTTAAAAATGTTGTCACCGCCGTGCTTGGTGGTGAAAATTCGAAACATTTGGAATTTTTTATAATTTACAGAGTAGTACATCAGAATTTTAATCTAAAAATTGTGAAGGAAGTAGACAACTAATATTGGAAGTATGATAGCATGAAGAAATATTTCCGGGTAAGCAAAAAAAAGATCACTCAGTGTTTGATTGACTCTACAGTTTAAGAGATGATTTATAAAAAATGGGTTGACCTCCCTACAGTCCTGACCTATTCCCCAGAATATTAGACAAGGATGACACAAATATTTTGAAATGCTTTTGGTATATCGGACTATCAATTAGACATAATAAATAGGTTGTTCATCATCGGCTTGGATAAAATGGCGAAAGGAAAAAAAATAGATAAATTACTCAATAAAATAGTCATGACTTTTCGCCCACATGGATAAAGTATTTACTGAAACAATTTTTCTCACGCACTTAAAACATTCCATACACTACACACGCGTTATTATTTTATTTTAATTGCTATCTACTTCACCGGAAACAATGAAAAAACAATGAGAAACGAAAAACGTTGTTACCACCACATTAACAAGACGCAAAGTTCAGACCCGTAGTTTTTAAGGTATGCAGATTATCGTATTTTAAATTTCCCAAGTTCCCCGCGACTGCTGATTCAATTCCCAACCCAGCGAACCGAGATGATTAAGAAAACCTTGTTAATTCTCAATTCTCTAATCCGAGTTGGCTAAAACAAACAGCAACACCAATTACCCTTTTTATCGCGGTACGAAAAACGTGTCTAATTTTTTTATTTCGTTCGTTCCGCGAACGAACTTGTGCTCCCGAAGAAGACGGGATAAATCACGATGCCGTCGCCGTCACCTTGGAAAAATAACCGATTCAACAAGAGGCAAATAAATCTCGTTTCTGGCAGAAAAGCGGTCCGCTTTGCTCGGAGTAAATAATTCATTTGTGTCTACCTCACCACTTGAGTAGACCTCATAAATTTAATATCGTCAAGTTTTCCGTCTGGCTGCTCCTCGGCTGGTATTAATTATTAATTTCTTACATTTCTTTATTAACTTTCCAACACTATTCATCTGGTTTCCGCATATCTGAAGTGTTGCGACGCGCTTTGGTATCAAAATTGCTCGAACTAGAGTAATTGGTGACCAGAACAGAACTGCGTCATTTTCAAAAGTACTAGAAGTCGTAATTTACAGATAAACTTTCGAAATGACTACAGTGCATACGTTCGAGTCTTTAAAATTGTTGTAGTGGCTGGTATTCTACACAGCACTAAGTCACTTTCATAAGTATTAGAAGTTACAGTTTATCGGTAATTGTCAAAATAACTTACACCGGAAAGTCTGTAAAATTTAAAGTATTACTATCTACAAGTCATGACTACTTATCACAAGTCGTAGAAATAAATGCATGGCGTCACAATTAGCAGTTATAAGTCTGTAGAAATGAAAATATTACTATAAACTATTTATATACATAGTCTCAGGTCCTTGTAAAAATGACTTCAAGTTAACAATTGTAGAATACTTGAAATCACAAATTATATTTTATTTATAAATATAACTTTAAGCTGCATGTTGCAAAAGAAATAAAAGTATAAATATTGAATTGTTCATTTGTAAAGTGAGTATTAAAAAACTTAAAAATATGTTTTTACATATGAAACATCATTTACATAATCGATATGTAAGTTTAAAAAATATAGAAATAATTTAAGTAAATTATTATAAAATTCACAAAAAATTACCACAAAAATTGTAAATATCCAATAAAATATTTCGCTTACATCAATCTGTCTGCTAAGTAATAATGAGATCAAATTGACAAGAGACAAAGGCTACAAAAATAGAAATAGTTCTTAGATTTATAAACTACAAGTCATTGTAAATATTACTACACAACTAAAAATAAAGATACTTAACTCTGAAGTCATCTGTCAAATGACTACTACTGTAAATTTAACGTCATAAACGTTTTAATAATAACAAAAAGAACAACACATTTTCTTCGACAAAAGATCACCCTGTACTTCAATTCTTCCACAATGTAAAAATGAAGTTAAATTGTCTACCTAAATTGTAACAAAATACTCAAGTCACCTGCAAAATGACTTCACTTTATCAGGAAGCTAAGTTATGTATCAAGATTTAACGAGCTTCGCAGTGTAAAATATACTAAGTTGACAAATAGAAATATTACCTATTTAAATGTATTATATAATTATAAATATATTATTCAAGGTTATTGTAAAAATGACTACAAAAACTGTAAAAAATAAAGTCATATCTGTAAAATGACTTTACAATTGAAAATTTTATCAAAAACTAAAGTTGTAAGGTTTTTGCCATAATTGTAAGAGAAATACATTTCCTCCGACAATTTAGCGACACCTACGTAATGTAAAAATGGCTTTAAATTGACAGATGACATCAAAACGGTTCTTATATTTACATTTCATTAAAAGGCAACGTTACAAAGTTCCTACACCGAATTTTTGAGAACTGACAAATATCTTAAATACCAAAACTGACTAAGTAATACAAGATTAATAAAAATGGCTAAGTTGGCAAATGTTACTTAAAAATAGTAGCTTAAAAAACTCGAAGTCTCAAGTGAAATTGTAAAATGACTACATTTTATTAGAAAATATAGGTAGGTCCCAACATTATTTAATAATAATAGTATGTCCCAGTATAGTTAACGAAATAAGTACCTACTCGAAATTGGAGAGTATGTAAAACATGTCGAAATATGATGAAAACCTTAGTAGAGTTTTTGTCAGTGGCGACCCCTAAGGGAGATACAGCCCCTTGAAGGGGTAACTCAGGAATCAGTTTTTATTGCATAACTTTTCTAGAAAACGGCTAATGCTAGTAAAATCTAACAAGAGTACCTTTTTTATGCAAAATATGATAAATTTTCATATTTTCGGTTCAAGAAGTAGAAAAAATTGCGCACAAAAAAAATTGTAAAGTTTGCCCCATGATCTCGCATTTTCTTAGGCCCCTGTAGCAAATTTTAATTTGTATATTATGCCGATTATTAAGCACACAAATAGTAATCCAACCCCTAAATTTCACGATTTAATATTAGATCGTTTTGAAGTTACGAAATAAAAACTGTTTCTCGAGTTACCCGACATATTTTACATACTCTCCAATTTTGAGTACTTAACACCTTATATATAAACATCTGTGATGTAAAAATGACTTTAAAACAAGTGAAGTGACCTGTTATAACAGTAGGAATAGTTGATTAAATTTATAAATTACAGGTAAAGTGAAAACCACCGCAAAATCTGTAAAATTAAAACACTTGATGTCACGATTCACTCGTAAAATGACAACTTTCATCAGAGTCTAAAGATCACCCTGTATATCAACACCTTCGCGACAAGTTGCAAATTTTCCTTGCTACAAATAAAACAACCCGCACCTGTTAGCAGCCTTCAGGGTAGAAAGGCGAGGCTAAAAAGACGTATCATATTCTATCACTCCAGTTCATCTTCCAACGCCTGGGGTCCCGCGGGACAGAATTCCGGAACAGCCCGGAACTGTTGGCACTTGAAAATTATCCTAAACTGGTGGGAGGCCGTTATGTAGCGAAAGGTTAGGATTCAGGGTGCTTTGGATTAAAGGGGATTAGGAATTTAGTTGTTTTAATATATGGAGATGTTCCGAAATATTTTAATCGTATTCTCTCTCCTTGATGTCACATTATTCTGTTCGGAAACGGGGTTTGTCACAAGGTCATTTACTTTGGATTAATTTAATACCGACTGGCTGCCCAAGATGAAGTAGAATAAGAAAAAAGTGTATAAACATACTGTACATTGTGTCCAAAACTCGATAATATGCGCCAACTGTGAGGAAATCAATTATATTTTTTCCAGAAACAAAGCCAAATTTTTCTCCTGTTAAAAAACTCTATTTTTTCTAATAAACTTTTATTAGAGAAATTTTTCTGTATTACTTCTCGTGTAAAAGTTATAACCAATATCGTCGTAAAGAGTCTCAATAGAAATACCACCTAAAAATCACATTAGCGGTGAAAAGATCAAGTAGTCGTTTGAAAATAATAATTGAATGTTCGTTGTTTATAAGTGCATAAATGTCATTAAGAAGAAATAAACGGATTGAACTCGATAATTCTTTAATAGAGTTAAAACAAAAGGTGATGATGACAATAACTAAACTTAAAAATTGAGGCAAACCCTTTCATGCTGCATACATATTACAATCTATTCTCTGTTCTCTATTCTCTATTCTATATTCTATATTCTCTATTCTCCATTCTCTATTCTCTATTCTCTATTCTCTATTCTCTATTCTATAGTCTCTATTCTC